TGATCTCCCTTAGCACGTGCAACAATCTGAGTAAAATCAAGTTTTATGATAAGACGAATTCAGTGGCACCGTCACTTAACCAATTTGAAACACATCACTAACTGTTTGTGTTCACGCGCATCTTGTCCAAGCGTCAGCTGCTTCAGTGCATCATCAAACGGTCTTACTTGCCGGAGTGTTGATCACCCTGTGGGTAATTAGCACCAGCTGTTGCTCCTTGTCTCGCCACCACCCAGTGCAAACAACCATTGTTCGGCAACGAGCTGACATAATTGGACCAGGGGATTGATCCCTTTTGCGAGTAGTTTACAAGTGGCATTCTAACAAGCAAAAGAAGGTTTAAGGAAAATTTTCCTGCACTCCAGTGGCCACTGAAGAGTGAATTGCTCTCTTCCTTGTCTTGAGGGAGTTAGCCCAGGGTCCGCTGAGGTAGCACTTTGTCCCATCGGGTATTGCAGTGTCATGCTGATTAAAATGAACAGATATTAAGTGCTTTCCCTTCTGGTTATTCTGAGAAACTGCTTATTTACCAGCTCGTGTCACTGTTAACAAGCTATCCAAGAATCTGCTTAGTTGAAACCCACTGATGTCGTTCTGAGAGTTAATTTGACTTTATAGGAGTAATCCTACGGTTGGTTTTAAACTTCCAGCATGTTTACTCATACGCTATCCCGACAGTTAAAACTGATCAATGAGTGCATTTTTCGACAATGGGTGTTCTATGGAAATGAACTCCAATGAATAATAAAACAAGAATATTAGTTCTTTTTGTTAAGCACTCCTTGCGTACATCTCAAATGTACGCAAATGTTATTGCTGGACAGATCATTTAATAAGTGGTCTACTGCCTGAAAGATTATTATTCAAAGAACAAGTGCAATTTCTTCAAAAAAGGCCGCCAGTTTAACCACTGGCGACGACTTTCCTGTGTTCAAGTGGTAATTGTGCTTGAATCAGTTACAGGCCGATGTATTTGGTAAATCATTGTCCTTGAAGGCAGATTTTGGTTTGCATGTACGGTAAGACTTCCGTCCGCCAGAAAGACCTAAACAAATTTTAACTTAACGGAACATTACCCATAAGGCTGCTGAGTATGTTTAGACAGTATACGACGGGTTCGTTCCTCCACTTTGGGAACAACAATTTCGTGGAACCTCAAGGAGTCTTTCTGTCTGGTAAGCCTCAAGAAAGGCAAAACCGGCTGCAGGATGTCAAACAATTTTCAGTAGAATTATCCGCGCTATTTCGTGGAGAAAATTCAATGAAATTTTAAATATTATACCGGCTGAAATATGAGGTCTTCGGGCAGCAAACTGTACAGTAAATTAAATGTTGGATTTAGCTACGATTCAGTTGAGTCTTCCCATTATACCTGATTTAAAAAAATCGGTGTATTTCGAGGATTTGTAACTTCGTTAGAACGCTGATGAATGTCCGCACACTTATGACATCTAGTAGATACGACCTGCCTTTCCGAGTATAGTTTATGGATCATCATTCATTGTAAGAGTGACAAAACTGGCTTCACGAATGGTGTCCCATTCGAGTTCAGGTAAAGCATAAGTTTAGTGCAGACTCAAAGACTGCGTCTACCTGAGGAGTTCCAAAAAGGACGGTCGCCGAAGAGTTTTCATCAATCTTATGAGCAATGTGTTTCATTTAGACAAGTATATCAGCTGTTGACCTCTTCAGCTTCAGTGATTGAACTGAAAAGCCGCAACCAATCTTACGAGCTGCTCAGAGCATTCTGACCATTAACATTCCAAATGGGGCTTCTGCATCACCTGTTTTCAAATTAGATGGCTCAGCGCAGTATGCCTTTGCTATGCAAGCCGAGAATGTGGAATAAGGTGGGGGGTTCAGTTTTGTCCACCGTACTTGGCACGCGAAAATACAGACTGAAATGACTTGTTGAGAAAACGCATGTTGGTACGATTAGCATTCACACACCCGTCAAGATCTCAGTTTGACAGAATGTGTGGATTGTGAATGCATATGTTGGCGGAATCCACAGTTACCTGAGAATATGAGTCTTCCTTGGTGTGGGAACCAAAATACTAACTAATAAGGGATCAATCTTTCCTTTATCAATGCACCAAAACCTACTCCTGAAGAATAACTTCAAACGAGGGTTTTTCTATACTAACAAATTGGGAGCCATTTTTCGTTCCCGACAGGGCATCAAAGGATGTTCCTTTCAAGTCTTTATTTAATCGACATATATTTTTAGTAACTCTGCATAAATAACGACGAATATTTTGCTGAAGAAGCGACTACGGGGTGATAATCACCACGCAGGTTTTACCGAAAAAAATTCATATTTCTTTAAAAATGGACGTTCTGTATTGCATATTTCAAATAGGTGCATAAAAGACGCTTAAGCTTCATTCAAAAACTCATTCTACGCCTATGTGGAACGGTAGATGTTCTTTCAGCCTGAATAAAATAGGGGAATTTGAGGCCACTGATCTGTATTTGAAGAGCAGCTTTTTATGCGCGGGCGGTGTCTGCACCCAGAACAATTAAGTATTTAATCTGACAACTAAGTCTGACTGGCTTTAAAAGAAAACCACACCCTATCTTGCACTTCGCCTTACCTTTACAGTAAGCACTAATTGACCTTTGATGGTAGACCAATTTGCCCAGTGCCTACTTCACCATCACTCAAAAGTCATGGCAAACGATATAACTTTACCAGCTGGCAATTCTGATGATTTACATGTATCATATCAAGGTTTCCTGGTATAGTCTGTAAGGAATTAAACATGCCTATTCCTTGTGAGGATCCCAAATTCCTCCGAAAGAAACCAGAGTTATTTCGTTATCAGCTGGAGACTCCCGGTAAATAAAGTGCCTTGAGCTTTAAGCCTAAAGTTAGAAATTTCTTGGGATGCATTTATTTTATGCTGGTACACTTTAACTCCCAATGCGGGGTAATCTATTTAGTGGCTAGATCCCGAAACATTCTAGTGACGACGAATTTTTCGGTAAAATTATCTGTGTTTAATCAGAAAACGCAAAATTTGATTTACAGTGGAAAGCTTATGGCCATGAAAGATAGTTATTCTAGCTCTGTTTAGCAACTTAGACTTCCAGCAAGAAGGACCGATCTCGAGAATTAAAAGAACAAGGCAGGGGACAAATGATTTAGAATGACGTAACGTGCTCCCATGTTTGTTGTATTAAAGATTCCTCATTACCAAAATATGCAAAAGTCACTGCCCTAAAGAGACACCTAATCGATTACACGGACTTTCATCTGCTAAGTCGTCCGCCGAGGAAACATTCGGCGCTAGAACACCTGAATTGAAAAAGTTTTGTGTGTTACGCTGAGTTTGAATCGGTCAGCGTCGGTCAAAATATCCACTGCTAAAATTTCCACTTGGTAGGTAGCAGGTTCAACTATCTGTTCCCATGTTGGCTATTACCAGTGCTTGTCGGCTTGTCGGTATGTATTAACTTTATATGCGTGATAAACCTTGCCTTGGAAAATAAGATTTTCCAAGGGAATAATATGTAGTGTTATAGCAACCTTGTATAACCGCTAACCCTCAATACCTTCCAGTAACATAAAGGTCACAGTCTACGGAAAATGAAATGAAATATGAAAGATAGCGTGCAAGGCGGCCTTATCACATACTTCCAAAAGTTAGTGGGAAAAGATGTTTGAGAACTGTTTCCACTGTAACAGGGAAGTCACTTTGTCAAAAAGCCTACGAAGCAAAGTTTGTGCACAGTCGATTTTGCTGCATTGAGAGAGCTGACCAGGTTGACTGATGAACTGATTCAGTAAAGCGTGTTAATTCAGTACCCAAGCATCGTTCCTCTGTCCTTTGGAAGCCAGGCACCTTAGTCAGTGACACTTTTGTGGGCATTTATCAACGACGTCCCTTTTCACACATGAGAAGGAAGATGACCCGTGGAGGCATGCACAAAAACCGCACAACCCAACTTATGATAGTAATTGGTTAAGCTTTTTTGGAAGAAGACCTTTTTGGAGGACCAATTATGTCTTATTTGACTAAAAAAATTGATGCACTTTTGATTTTTAGAAAAGCACTTAGTAAGAGGCTTATTCCGAATAGCGAACCTAAAATGTTGCTGTCCTGTCAGTACATTTACAAGCTCCTTACTGTCTTAACCTGTTTTAGCTAGGCTTTTGCTATATGTTTATCATCTCAAAGAAGGTTACTTAAAGTGGATCAGCTTTAACTGGTCTCTTCGGTGAAAAGGACCCACCCCATTGGTTGGACCAAGGTTTCGAGATTCGATCATTCATAGGACCTTTTCACAGGGTGGGAAATGCATTTATTTGCCGTCGGTTTCATCAAGATTCACATCCGAGCATGGGTCTGACCGCAAAACAAACCCCTGCTAGGTGAATTCTAATTCCTAACGTTTAAAGTATCTTTTTTAAGACATTTTGATGAGGTTTACTAGCATGAAATGGGTACTGTTGTGATTATCTGTTGTTTGTATGGCGCAAATTTCTTATACATGAAAGTAAAACAATTTGATTTTTTGTACGATTTGGCTCCACGTTTATGACCAATTAGGGCGAAAACGCAACAGAGAGCGCTACTTTCACTTCACCCATTGAAATTAGAGTAAGTTGACACTTTTTATTCTATCTCTGTAAAAGAAAACACATAAGCTGGTTACTCTCTGCACAAGTTTGTGAATAGCCTACTCGTTTTTTAGTGATTTACCTAACTTGCCACTTTGAGTTGCTTGTAAGTGCTTATTTTTAGACGAAAAACTAGTGCATATTCTGAATAATTGGGAATACCCATCTTTCCCATTGTTAGAAAGGTCTCAAAACATCCCACACAATTATTTTTGCTTCTAGTTGAAAGGTGTGGTGTGCCCCGTCTCGTGGACTCAGTTAGTGACATAAACTGAGCTTCACGGATCTTCATTACCTACAGTTAATCGTTGAATGTCTACTCAGTATCAGTGGTTATCAGATACTAAATAAGAATACATGAAAATGAACCTACCTTTACTTGACTTTCCGACATGCCAAGAAAGTAGGCTAATCTAGCACGTTCCGGACCTGCCAAGTACTTGGTTTGCTCGAATGTCTTTTCAAGTGCGAAAATCTGCTGACCGGAAAACGTTGGGCGAGTATGCTTGCGTTTGCCATCTTTGTCTACCGAAAAATCTGAAAATAAATATAATTTTTAGTCATTTGGTTAGGAGTTGTCTTAGCCCCCTCCATATGAATCTCGCTTTATAAGAACATTCAACCGAAAATTTGTTTAAGCCCAAGCAAATTGGATCGTTTGCAGTTGGTATGAGAACATGAGGTCAGGTTTGCAGCAAAATCTAAGGTTGGAAAACTTTCCTCTTCCTCTCATCCTGACGTAGTAACCCATAAGATGGGATGGAATGTAAATGAAGCACGGAAGTTTGTGTCCAGCTATTAAACCAGAGCTTAAATTGTGCTGTGTGGCGTGTAGGTTCCGGACAGTTATTTGTGAGCGTCTAATTACTTCTTCTACAATGCCATGGTGCTAATCGTTCTCAAGCTTCCACATTGTGAATAAAAATTAAAAAAAATCGAAAAACCTGGCTATTTAGAAATCTTAGACCATGAAGTTGAATGCACTGCCTCCTAAAATCTCGAAAAAGAGATATGCGATTTATAACGGTCAATGTCAACCGTATCCCGCTGAATTGGAGTTCAACGGTGCAATATGATATTTATCGTTCTCTAAATACACAGACAGAACCTGCACGTTATAAACACATGAGAAACTTGAAATGAAGCTACTTAATGAGCAACTTTTAGACCGTTCATTACAATTACAACAACAGTGTTTGTTAGTACTAGGTACTTTGCATTGTCAACTTTTCCTCCGCATAGTAGCTTATTGGAGGCTGCACTATCGAACGAACATTGTTCCTCAGAATCGAGTATTTACTGTGTAATTTACTGTGACATATGTCCTATAGCTCTGTTAGTGCACCCAAGGTGTTTTCATGAGGATATTCATTCGGGTTAACGGTTGCCGATAAAAATTCAGGATTGGGTGCCTCAAATTTTACACTCTAAAGCACAAACTTCAGTAGGCCTGGATGAATAGTTCACGGACCTTAACATATAGGTTGTATGTTTACCGCTGAAACTTATAAAGATGTCATAAAATAACTTGGCACCTACCATAGATCCTAAAGATGTAAAGCTTACTTCCGTTTGGACTATTCACAAAGCTGGTCGTAAGAATTCCCCGGTTAGACAATCATAAAATTCAAAAATAATGGGCATAAACGCAAACCAAACACGTGTCGTCTTGCGTTGTTTTATGTTCTGTTTATGGACCTGCAAGGGTATTGTCGGTGTTTCTGACCTCTGGGAATGATGAAGTATCGTATTTGTTATTCCATCCTATTTGCCGACACAAGTGCACAGACGCTGTCAGCTGACTTGGGACTTTTAGATATTTCTAGGGCAGCGGGCTCCAGTTCTTACCTAATCTAAAAATAACGTTGAGATACCGAAGCTTACGGTGTTAACAAGTTGTACTGAGTGTGAGCATAATTATCTATCTCATGGTCTACCCAATGATAAAGTGCAAATTACGCTTATGACAATTTCTAATGAAACGCCAGGCGTAGGACGTTGGCAAATGGTTCGATAGCCCACAGGGAATGTTTTGTTATGGTAGTGAAGCGAGTCATGTGGCTTATTGGAAATATAGACATCATAATTTTAGTGATTGGGCTTCTTATGTCAGCGCCGTTTAACCGGCGCTTGTCTCGCTTTGTCTATCGCACATCGAGTGTGAGCACAGTAATCAGTTAAGTAAAACATACAAAATTTCCCAAGCTCTGGTGATTCCGACAGGAGGATTTTCGTTCCTAATTTTTGTTTTCAGTTATCCGCCGTCGATCTTTGTTTTGTACACATTTCTGCCTTTATTTTTCTTTTCGATTCACAATGTACTGCAGATTTTTGAGCTGGCTTCGAACAAACAAATTTAAGAGGAAATTATTTGTTGTATTATTGTTGGTAGTTCAGCAGTTATCCCCAGTTTTTTTAATGAGCTGCTGTCCTAAATGCTGCCATCAGTGGTCGATGTAATACACTCGATGGCGACGTGGTTTGATGTTCCTAGTTGAATTCGCTGCGCAAAGACCACCTCTTGTTTTAGTTAGTACGATATTAGTGGCATTACATCATAGTTTCTTGATAAAACAATATTATTGATTTTGTTGAAAACCCGGCAATACAGCANTGTATTATTGTTGGTAGTTCAGCAGGTATCCCCAGTTTTTTTAATGAGCTGCTGTCCTAAATGCTGCCATCAGTGGTCGATGTAATACACTCGATGGCGACGTGGTTTGATGTTCCTAGTTGAATTCGCTGCGCAAAGACCACCTCTTGTTTTAGTTAGTACGATATTAGTGGCATTACATCATAGTTTCTTGATAAAACAATATTATTGATTTTGTTGAAAACCCGGCAATACAGCACGACTGGTTTTGTTCTTGTTAACTTGGGCAGATAAGTTTAGTCCTTAAGTTTTCGCTAAGTGGCTATGAGAGCAAAGTTTTTCATCCAACTTCCGAGTAGTGCCGTCCATTGGGAAAGCTACTAATTGGGTTTTAAGGTCGGAAGCAGACGGCACGGTAGAATTAGGATTCCCTGGAAAACTATGAATTTTTTGAATGACACTAACAGGGGCTTCCGCCCGTCTTGGTACCAACTTACTTCGACGCCCTTGTCTGCCATCTTAGGTTACAAAATTATGGCATTATTATCGCTTATCAGTACAGCGTCCTGCAACCTCATGCAAATCCCCAACTCAAATTCAACTAATACTACTGAGCCATGGATTGTATATGTCCGTCCCGGTACATAGCTTCCGCTTTTAAATGCCCTAACCCCTTCTGAAACCGTGGACAATAAACTATCCGAACATCTCTCCTCATTCATCTTTTGGGGAAAAGTTTCTGGCAGCTGGTGTTTAGGGACAATAATTGCATTCTATGTCTCTCTTTCAATGTGATCAACACATCAGCTAAGTTTGCACAAAATCCATGGTCATTTATCTTATTCACGGGCGTTTAAATTAAACCGAATTTCGTCAAACGCGCATTTATCAAATCAGTCAACCAGTGTTCATTCAGATCCTCAACCAAGCTTGCCGCGTTGGTGTACAATCCTGCGCCACACACCCCGGACGTCCTTCATTTCTGCCTATGCAGGGGGTGGGGGAAAGAATGGCAGCAAACGGAAAAAGTACGCCTGGATAAAGTTTGACGAGCCTTTTTACCGCTTATCCTAAACAATGTTATGATGAGGGTACTGGGACAGTAACAGCATCATCAATCCTCATACCCTACGCCGGTTTAATTCGATCACAGACGCCACATCATAGTTGCTTCTGACTGCCTTAAAAAATACGCGTTGACGGCACCTGTCCCACCCCAGTAACAGTTCGCATACACACACAAGGCGCGCCAAGACGTCTCACATTTGCGCTTCACCACACTCCATCAGCGGCCAATTTTTCATCTATAATCCCTCGGTAGATCAAACACCCGATACTCTGTGGTCTACTGGACGTGTGAGTGTGAGGGAGAGCTACGTGTGTGGTCTGTCCAACGCTAGACGCTTTGAAAGCGGCAATGAGTTCGCTAATCCTGTAGTCATTCAACAGATTCCAGCAGATTCAAAATGTTCAATGCAGAAAAATCCCTGTTTCATTATCCAAAGCCAAGTGGATAGGTCCATAATTGCTCGAAGTTCACTGATGTGTTGTGCCCAAGTTTGAAAATCAACTTGTTAGGAGTAAGGAGACGATTTGAGTTTGCAAATTTTCCAGAAATTCGAATAATTTAACACACTTCGTCTGGACGGGAGGGGGCGTTTTTTCGTATACTGCTGCTGAATTGGTTTGTATCAGATAGAACGAGTCATTTATATAGTTATTTCCATGATGACCCTTGACCCGAACAGCTGGATAAGATGAACAGACTTCATAGTGCAGGATAATATTTGTTGCTTGAATGACCGTTTATAGTATCCATTATTTTTCTGTAACTCTAGGGAGTGAAATGGGTTTAAACTGAGGTTAGGAAGTACACTGGTACTTACAAAACGACTGAATGTTTCGATCGCATCTGCAAATTAGCGGTTAATGCTACAGGTTTTTGGATTCACTTGAGCAACTGATAAAATGTTCTTGATAACTACAGAACTGTATCCATCCTGACCTCCTCCGGATTCGTTACACACTATTCAGCAAGGATCCATATTGGCCATACAAAGGAAGCTAGATTTAAGCCTGTGCGAAAATTCGAATGGGCACATAATCTTACTTTACTGAATACACGTTGCAAACTTATCAGGTTGAATGATGTTCACTTTTAAATTGGGAACGTACTAAAACTACCACCCAACTCAGCCGGTTACCTCAACTCGGCCGCTACAACTTTCATCGCATGTTCATTAAGATGCATTACTCATCAGCATCTAAATACGACTGACTGCGCGGCACGACCGAGTCAGTAGCCATGACTGACGGACACGGGCCTAGAACACATGTTACTAAATCTCACAGTACTTGGGTGAAAAGCTGTGCATTTTGTGCCATAGTTAAGGAGCACAAAACCTCAACACAATGTGTATTTTCGGTGGACGAATCGTTTGATGAGCTCTAGTGAAAATGTTATACTCAGACTTCGGTGAACACATTAAACGTGCATTCTTTGAGCCGGTAGTACGCTTGCACGACAAGCTCTGGTCAATCAGGCTTGGTTCATCTTACAGAGTTTGGTTTGAGCGCAAATAGTAAAAGCCGTGAAAAGGAAGAAACAAAGCTACGTTTTCAACACTTAGTAAGAGTGCGAGATTTCCTGTTGCACATTAAGCAATAGGACCTTTTATTATTGGACCATAGGGTTGGAATTAGAGGCAAATGCAATGGGTAGTTCCCGAACCATCACCATTGATAGGGCATCATTTACCATCAGAAGTCGGTTTGTAGCCGCCAGTGAGTAGAAACGCCTGAGTGCAGATCTCGAGACGCTTGACATTGTGTACTTCCGCGAACTGCTGGCAAAGAATCGTGGCAGATAATCATCGTTCTCTCTCTGATAGAGAGTGGTTAGCGCTCATTGCATACAGATCAACAGAATGAAGATTGATATGACAGTTTGATGATCATGTATTTTTTACAAACGAAAGTGAACGTCGCGGTATAATCTATCTCGGTGCTCACAAATAGTGAGTGGAATTTCACAGAAGTTCACACTCAGTCAGCTACAAACACAAGCCAACATATTTATTCACTTCTAATCCTAAAGACAGTACTTTACTTACAGTTTGGTTACAGATATTCTGTAAGCAACCAACACCAGTTACATCGAACCCTTGGTGATAAGGTTTTTGAACAGTTTATACCTTTAAATTAGTTAGGTCTTATCCCCCAGAAGAATCATCAGATGAATGTGGTTCAAGAACTCTCATCAGTCTCACTCAGCCAGAGGACAAGTATCAATCAAAACCTTGTAAGCCTATCTTGTGACTCTTTCTAGACAGAAGGCAGACCAGACCCTGTTGATTAACGCAGTAAGACTTTATTAGCTGCTGTCCTTTTCTGGAAAGAACGCGACAAGCTAGAACTAAAGAAATATTCCATCCTTTTTGACGGATGCAAGTTAGCTACGTAAACGCAATTATTTGGTCGAATGTTCGTTATATGCATAAATCTCCTGTAAAGGAATGGTGTTCCAGCATCATTTTAAATAAGGACATGTGTGAGAGAATACAGTATGCTATTTGCTAATCAGCCTTGCAAAAGCAGGTTCAGGATGCATTCTTTACTGGTGCGGTTTACATTTTATTTGTAGAAGCAGATATTGTTGGAATTTAGGGCAATAGGTTGAGCATACTATTCCTGACGAGAGCCATTTATTACACGTTGTGGGTCTTTATGATTTACACTAGGAGTCACTTAAAAGAGGAGCAAACTAAAGGAATTTCTGCCCTTTTCGGCCTGCTTGACTCGGACAGAATGAACAAATATACGAGTTATATGCTAATATTTGGTTGTTACTAGTCGGAGATAGCATTCCAAGCGGCAAGGAGATTTCTTGCAAATAGACATCCGACAAACTGGTGGTTCTTTTTGCAAGCTTTCATACTATATGTCAGAATTATGCATTTTTTTCGAAAAACGTTGAAATAATCCTCAGCCGGGTTATTAACCCCTGAATGTGAAACATGGTCCTAATGCTCTAACGGAATATACTTTTTGAAGCATGCACTGCCAGAAAAATCAACGGAAAAGTAGACAGTCATTTTGCACATAATACGCTTGTCAGCCTCTGAGTATGTACGCCAGTTTATGTGTCGACAAATGTGCACTGTGGAGAGACAAGCCTTCCCATTCCTTCTATTAGATGATTACCAGACGTACAAAATGTTCATGAATGCACATGACTGCTAATTTCTTTTTAAAGTGAATCGACTCTTTTAAGTGAAAAATGGGTCCTTCTGGGGCGGTGTGATTTTGAGTAAAGAAGTTTGCAACTCAGCGCCCCACATAATCAGGAATATCCCGCAAAGTTCTCCGGCGTTGTAAACATCAGAGCTGTCAAAACAAGTCCGATAGGTATTCCAACTACAGTCTGGTGTCACCGATGATGTATTTGAACGCGCCGTCACATGTTTAGATGAATTTCTCAGCAGAAACAATAGCACTGTTACGTATGGATCCCCCACCCACTTCCCATCTATGAATGCTTCACGAATCTTTCCATCATTCAAATCACCGCGAGGCTCAGTGGATTATTTTAGCCGTTAAACTTTCTTTTTTCCTGCTTGATACTGTGCAAAATGTCTGCAATGCCCTATGAACTGTTCTGTCTGGCTACTTATCACCGAATACCAGTTTTAATTCATGCTTTCGAATGGTGTAGTCCTCTATCCACTTGAGTTCCCATTGCAAACGAATTGCTTTCAACTGTATGGCCCGCTCTTTTCTAGCATATTTTAAGGGCTCAAAGTTGGATATGGCTTCTAGATTCACATAAGTACTTTTTGAGTTTTATTTTGGTTATTTGGTGTTAAAGATGGTAGTCTTGTTTTTGCCATCTCCGACCTAAATTCTGTCCCATCTGAACATTTCAGTTGCTACCCTGAAGAGCTGGTGACGAAGGTGGAAACAGCCAGTCGTGATACACCCACATGTCTCCTACTTATTCTCTATATTTCACCTCGCCCAAGCTGCTAGTGCAATGAGCCGAGTCTTCCCTTGACTGATTCAAGTGGTCTCCCAACCAGCTAGGCCCCAAAACTTTGCTCTTCGTCAACCATAACCTACGTTACTCACAGAAGAGGTGCAATCGTAAAACCTACGACGTGTTATCTAGAACAAATCCTACCTTGTTTATTGCAATTGGAGAGGTAATTGACCCACAGCGTCACATTAACTTGTTTTAGTTAAGGTAGCTTCTTTGCATATTTATAGCCTGTTTTGTCTTTCTCAAACAGTTTATGCACTCATATCTAACGGTTTATTTGGATCCAGTTGCTTCTGGATTTAGAAGGATCATGTCAATTTGGGAAGCTCAAGTTAAGGGGAAGCAGGATTGTGTAGAGAAATAACAGTTGACAGCACTACGTGCACTTTGTGATAGATGAGGAGTTTAGTGTATGTGGGATATGTAACCATATGTGACTACATGCTCCCGTAATTCTTTCAATAAGTTCAAGCCAAGAATGCCGCAAGATAGGGACATTCTACAGTCACTTGCCACGCTCAATCGTCACCTCCGTTCGCTGAGGACAACTTCTATTCTCTGAAGAAATTCAAACTGAAGAATGAGTATTTCACACCCCATCTAATTCATTATCCGACAAGGCAGTCCGCAAGTATCGAGGCGTTAATAATCGAAGACAAGGTATTCTTCGAGCTAGTAGGTGATGCAAGTAGTAGTGGTTAGAAGCGTGAAAATGCCGTATTTTTCGTTATTTCTATCTACAAGTAATTCGAAAATATGGCCTTATTAAAAATAAAGTGACCGTTTTCAAGCGGTAAATAGCGTGCTGCAGTTCTTGTGAAATACGTTCCCACACAATAAAATAAAAATGAAACACCCTTATCGGAAAGATTTTGAAAGCACAAAAGTTTTCGCTACTTTGATCTTCTGCCGAGGAAAACCTCCTAAAACCAAAGAATAGGGAAGTTCTGGACCCACAAATAGCTGGTTTATCCTTCATGATGTAGCACCACATCGAAGCTGTGCTATGCTGTTGACCTAAATCATCTGGTGGTCTTTCACAAGTACTTCCGGTAAGCTCTCCTTCCACGTTTGCGAATCCGCATTGAATGGCCTGACCACAGTTTAGCTTCAGAAACGTGCACGGCAGTATTTGATCAAAGACAATGGCTGAAATCCGAATTCACGATAACAGGGCTTGGACTTGCAATGAAGCAACTCAAGACACTTCTACATTTTTATCCCTTAATAAATGTTTTAATTTTTCGATATGCCGGGATGCATAGTTTTGGTGGACTATCTCATCCTGTGGCTAAACTTGAGTTTAACTCGTTTCTTATGGCCGAGGCTGACAATCATTATATTTATTTGTAATCACCACTCATATATTTTCGCAAAAGGGGGATAACTTGGGGAAAATATCATACTATGAACTTAAAAAGTTGCTTCAGATAACCGGACAAAACTAACATCTTAATAGATCCGTACAGTGCGATTGCTTCTGGCCTACTGTTTCATGAAAATGCACTCTCCGAAGGGAAGGAGTCCTGTAGAAGTACTGTAGTACTGTTGTATAATGTACAAATCGCATACGATAGTTTAGGATCTACTGTGGTACTCAAAGACGCGGTTACAAATAAGAGGGGTGACAAGGCTCTGCTAAATTAAGCCAGGACAAAATTCATCTCAAGAATCCAGTTCCTGCAAGCTCACACTGATATGGGCTCATGCATTCGACGAAGTCCAGTCAAAGTAACTCCCCAAACGTATATGCCGTGAGCAACTTAACATTTATTTGTACATGTATTCACAAATAAATTGGTGCGCATTGATCTACCTCACTCATTTCGCGAAATATGACAATGTGTGGCAAATAGCAGTTGGCAAAATAAGTAAGTTTGTAAAAAGTTGATCGGTTTGAGTGATGTACTAGCCAGTTAGCTGAATGTGATGTAATGAAGCAATCTGATAGCTCATTTTTTGCGCAACGCCTCAGTTGCGAAATGATCAATTGTAAACTTACAGAAATGATGGATGGCGAGATGATTTGCAGTTATTAGGCGGTTATCTTTAACAGATTTGCTATATAGGGTTTCTTACCCTAAATTTATGTGTACTTATCACCAAGATATACCGTATCAGTTTTCAGGGCATACTTTTGGACCCTATTGAAAACGACTCCAAACACTCGATTGTATTGCACTAGCCTCAAAGTATGGACTTACCATGTGATCGTGGCCAAAACGGCACGTTGGATTGGCATGGTGGTTGAGTTGCTGACCTGGGTTGCATCGGAAGGTGAGGTAAAGGAGGGGACGAATAAGGCAAACTGAACAGACTGGAAGTCGCGTTTGCTGATCCTAAAGTGAGGAGCGAGTCGCCTCCGTCCATATCGTGCGAATCACTGGCTGGTGTTTGCTGACTGTTGTAGACTCCACTGGAGGTAGATAAAATACTCAATAGTTGGCTTGGGAGAAAAGCTGTTGATGGCGATTCCTTCACTCCACCGCTAGCTGCCACTGCAGCTGCCGCCAGACCTAACAGTTGCTCTGAAGTTAGACCAGCAGACAAAGAGTGTACCAGAGGAGCTGGAATGGTGCAGTCTTTTGGATGGTTTTCAGAGGATGTCGACGTAGAGCTAATTGGGAACTCAGATGTAATACGACTTGACATCGGCCCTAACCAGCGCAGAGGAGACAGTGGATTAGTCATTGTAGGCCCCTGAACTCCTGGGATAAAATCCACTAGTGCGGATGGTGAAAACTTATATGGTGCATCAAGTAATAGTGAAGACTGTATTAAATGGTTTTCGGACTTGTTCGTCGTCATATTTTCGCGCTTCATTTCAGCCACTGCAGGATGAATACGCTGGTGTTGAATAGCCTCCTGCCACGCAGCATAGAATCTCATAAAAGCTGCACTGTACCCCCAACTTGTTTGTGCCTCCATTGGTATATCGGCACGACTCGATATTTCAACCTGCGCCGCTGAATTGTCTTTTGTTTCGACCCCCTGCACCTGATCTCCAAGTATATCTTTTATTGCATGTGAGGCTTTCCGCTTCGTCGGTGTTTCCTGCAATGGGGTCATATCTTTTGTAGATGAAGGGTGAATTTGTGGGGCGAAATTTGGACAGTTAACTACGGTGACATTTTCGTTAACACAACCACCACATGTTGAAATCTTTGCTATGTGATTTCCATTAAGTTGATCACTCCCCCCGGTGGGAAGTGCGTAGACGTGCTCTGAAGATAATGTTTGCCCTCTATTTATCTTTCTCCAAGAATCCTCAACGTGTTCATACCAGTTATTGAACTGAACGTTCGAAATTCCTGTTCTTCCTTCCGATGACAGTCGTCGGTCTTCTGAGGTTTGCACGTTTCGCGTTCTTGAGTGAACGGCTTTAATTACCGCTGAGTCCTCCACAAAGTCGGCCATAGAAGGGCTTCGTCGCTGCGTGTCTGTTCCAGAAGGCGGTGAAGACATTTCAGGTTCCCAGCGTTTGGTGCGTGAAACCACTCTTTCGGAAAGGTCACCCGAACCCTCCAGTTTATCGGAGCCGGCTGAAGATTGGTCATCCACGGAGTTCAGACGCATGTTTATCACAAACGGTATTAGATAGGTTCTCGAACTCTCTCACCAACGTTTTTAGCACGCTTTCCTACTGAATGCACAACGCGATGAAAGAAAATACTTGATCGTTTTTGCTCTCGTGCACAATCAAATCATTCGTCGCTATCCACAGTGTCTAATTGTAGGGGGTGAAAACGAATTTGTGTGGACACTAGTTAAACTGATCGCAGACCCTGTTCAAATGTTGGTTTGCAGTTATTCATTGTGAAAAGGTAGGGGGAGAAACGTGTGCACACAAACACACTTGCTGTAGAAATGTCCATTATGGTCACAAACAATCAAATCGGAGGTGTGAAGGTGACAAAACCAGCATGGGAGCCGTTTTGGAGTTGGAATACGGAACATAGCCAATCAAATTGCAATCAGCCATGACTGAAAGAGCTGAACGACATCTGATGCACTGACAAACTATGCTGATGAACCTATGCACAGGCAACACACAAACATAGGTGTCTTGTTGATACACAGACGCCGGCTAAACAGCCAATTAAAAACGTGTTCGTACTAATCACGCAGTCCGTTGTGCCGGTTTAGATCATGCGATTGAAAGCCTATGGGTTCACCACATTTGAAGCTGTTGATTTTTTCCCCTATCAGGAAACATGTCAGGCCATCGTCATAGCATCAGCAGCTATTTATGACGCCAAGTTAGAATATTGGGTAGACAGAAATCCAGCGAATTCCTTATCGGATGACTGAGTAAGGGTGGTAACACGTAGTCTGGAGATAACACGAAGAACATAAATGCCTCTCTCTCCCATGGAAGTGAGCTACTTGTTCCAAAGCTATTCCAAGAGATGGTACATGGGGTCCATTCACTTTTTGGTGTTCTATGAGGCCTGTCTCAAAGGAAGCGATGTTTGCCGGAATACCAACAATACAGTCGAACTTAGCCAACTTTTGTAGTTGCGAACTGCTTACAATTGCAGCCATTTGATCTTTCAGGATTTGTTAGGGGATGGTGGATACTGTAGAAATGTAAAACCAACGACGTCATCCGATACGGAGTTTTCTTGATTTCTGTGCTCTACACCAGTTAGGTCATTATATCTAGTAATCTACTATGCACCAAAAGCAACGGGTTAGTTTCTGCAGCTATAACGTACTGCAAACGAAAAATTTTGTTATTCTGCGGGTGCAGAACAATTGAATTCTGTTCATTATTACCTGCAAAACTTTCATGATCAAAGTTGGGACAACATTAGATGTCTTGAGCAGTATAAATCCTGCTGAGAATTCCAGTCATATGAACCCAGTGTTTGTTAGATACGACTACGTTTTCATAAATTGAGCTGTATTTATTTTCTAACCCCTCAATCACCACACGATTATTTAGCACATAACCCAACGACTGTTTTACAAACATGTGGTGGTCAGCTATATAAATGTACAACTTGGATAAGCTGACGTGCCTAAAATTTTAGAAGTGAGGTTTATTTCCAATCCATGATCAACTACCACTGGTAAGGTGCAGTGACACTGAATCTTATACTGACATTTTCATTCTAGTTTCTTCAAAAGCCATCTGGTTATTGCACCGAATGAAAACTCCTGAAACTCGCAACTTCAAACATCGCTCGCCTAACTTTGGCGAGTGTGTTGTTCCTCTTAGTGGCCACAGTTGACACGTATTTGGAGCAACCAACCTCGGTTGCATCAACTGACTATACTGGGATTCTACCTTTTAGAATAGAAATTCATAGAATTTCATGCCATACAACTCAGCCGGGCATGAATCAACGCATAATAAACTCCAGTTTACTAAACACAATTCCGTGATCTTCAACTGCATGAACTAGTAAACCAAAAATCAACAATAGCGCCCGCCGAATTTAATTAGTTTCTGGCAAATGTCTCATGTAAACCCGAATAGATAATTGGAATCTCTGTTTGCAAGCAATTCGCAGGGTTCGCCACAAGAGATTATGGTAAACTAGGCACACGAATGCGATTGATACAGGTGGGTTTTGTTAGGGCATTGTCTTCCTTGTGACACGCTTTTGTGACACTGTTCCAAAAATGCTTTATTTTACTTGTTGAGTTACATACTTTCTTCTTAGAAACCTCTGTTTAAAGCAAGCAAAATAAAGAGAGTTTGTTTTCAGGAAACATTATGGGTCACACTTTTCAAAATCGGATAAACGGATGCAGTAGACTTGTTTTAGCATCATGGAGCTGATAATGTCTTCATCTTGGCCACGTATATCGAAAAGAAACATGCAGTAATTAGCCAAACAAGATTGCGCCACTGAAGATCTGTCGACACACTGTGATGCTAAACACCAAACCTATGGATGGATATACCTACGGGCTAATACAAGTGACCACATTTCTTTGCCCTCAGCTGGCAATCTGTGGTACCATGAAGTGTTACCTCTGTTCATAAAACCAAACCTTGCTTCTTGTCGTCAGCCAAAGTAGATCAGGTCATCACGACCCACGCTTGTGTTATTCAAGCTCTTTTCGGGCTCATGGCTTTTGGTAAAACCGAAAACTACCTTTGGCCTATACCAAGCTAGTAATTTACAATCATGGGTAACAATCTTCAGGTGGGCTCCTCCCAGTTTCCTCCTCATTCTCTGTGTTATAAACGTGCTTGGATTAACTGATGAGTGACATTCAAAATTATATGTTTGCATATCCTCGTTGTCAGGGATGTGGGGATAAAAACACTTTCGTTCATCTAGTTTTCTTCAGATATTCTGGCTCGTCTCTCATCATTTGTTAACAGATCAAGTTAATTCGATAAATCGATTGTTTGAAGAATGCACACTTGGACGAAATGACCATAAAAAAGAATCGCACGGGAGATTTGGATTAAAGAAAAACTACCTTCGCTGAATGATGTCGTTGACTTGGAACTAGCAATACGAGACTGTTGTTGCGATTGACAGGGACGAGGGACCCATCGGTAGGTGAATGCCACATGAAAGAAAAACGCAGCTACTAAGCGAGTGAAAAAAGTGGTCTGTGGAAATATGAAAGTAGGCTTGCAGTGCAGAACTGAAGCATTCTACTGTAAAGTGGTTCATGTACCCTTCAGAATGTGCCAAACCTCTTTCTGCGCATACAAATGAAGGAGTCATAGTTGTACCTTGTTTGAAGGCCGGTCTACCAAGACTCAGTGACCTGAGATCCCAGAGGTAGGTGGACCACAAATTGGTTTGAACTCGGGGCAGTTGTTCTGACGTGTGCTCAAATCCTCAGGTAAGTAGAATAAAGCTACATTTTATTGAAAAACTGGGGCTTGGTTACAAGGGGAAGAACAAAATATCTGACAAATCGCGTGATTGCTCTGAAACTTGAAAGTGGAAGACAGAGCTCACAAATCGCGTCATGTATGCTTTAAGGAACTGTCCTTACTTGATGTGGTGTGTTTTGAAGCCAGGCCTTTTCACTTTTCAGTTTTAATCAAGCAACTAGTAGGAAGTGCAATTTTACTTCGTTCAATCATTTTAAGCGTGTAATCCTGCAACAGACGAAAAAGTGGAGGAACCTATTAATAATTTTCCACCTGAATAGGTCTGAATAATTGTTAGTTAAATGACGACTGTTACTAGCAAGTAGAAAATTCAATCTGTATGGATACGTCAGCCAAAAGCTAATGGCCTAAAGGAAATCTCCAGCTGTAAATTGGGATACCCATATGAACTTTGTTGTTGGGAAGGCTTGTTAACAGAAAGGGTTGTGGAGGGAACAATAATAATGTGATACTCACCTGATTTATTTATCGCTTCCTTGCGACCGTCATACACTAGATAATCTCAAATTTCACTTTTGCCTCAAGTAGCTCCTCCCTGGAAGCGACATCGATTAACTTGGAACCCACGGGTACATCATTCCTCACTTAACATCATATGAACATAAAGAAAGACGAACCAGCTTTGGGAAAACTTCTGGTGAAAAGTTACTGTTTTTCACTGAGAAACGGCGGTTTTGATGTTGCGTTTTTACATTGGACGTTCACGAACTACACCAGGATTGACCACCACGAACAAACCAAATTCTCAACCTTTAATTGGAGGTAGCTTGTCCTTTTGGAATTGTACACCGGTACCTTGTTTGCAAGAAGAAACTGTGGGCTTTCCAAGGAAATAGTCCCATTGAGACGCATGCTCTGCATACCGGATTGTTAAATAGACACATTAAATGCAGGATTTTGCCCTTCTGATCGCGTAACTCACTGACAGCTATATAAAAACAGCTTTGCATTAATAAGCCGAGAAGAACGCTTAAAGTATCCATCAAAATGATATACAGGATGTCCAAAATTAAGCAGGCATGATGCTAAATACACTCGTTTGACCCTTGCTTCCAACTGAAGCGCCCGTTTTTTTACTCTTAAGTTGGATTTTCTGCATACCGGCCGCCTCCTGTTTTACTAAATACGATATTCGAGGTATCGTAGTACATTTTTTTGAAAGCACACTGCTCCTAGTGGCGCTGAAGATTCATCGATAGCCCATGAGCAATTCACCCCTTGAAGCTTTGCAGGTAGGGAAGGTCTCCGAGTTTCCCTCAATCTCATGTTCCACCTGAAACAGATTCCACAAAATTCATCAAATTCATTTTTTTTGCTAGACACAGATGATGGGCTAAAACGGCGTCCCTGGCGTAGGGTTTTCGGTAGCCTTTTGAGTGATGTACCTTGAAGAAAATGTAAAGGTAAGTATTTCGCGAATGCTATTAGTTTGGCCCACTAGTTAATGCAGGAATGGTGGATGAGAAATGCTGCATTCCTCTTGAATATTAAGCAATCTAGTCTGACACAAAATGATTGCCCACTGGCGTCGTTCACAAGCCTGATCACTTATCTCATGTATGACAGGCGATCGATTGGCAGTCGACTCAGGGGGAGGTTAACAAATTGTCCAGCAGAATGAAAGTTTGATGTTCATGCTGTGTGCACAGACTGGCTTTGGATACACCTGACGAAACTGGAAATGTGCACCCCCCTACGTTAAGATGTAAACATTTCAGCAGCAGTACGCTTCAATACAGAATGAACACTGACCCGCTCTTCGTTTGTGATTTGTAACCTCTCGGTTTCTGACTCACTTGCACCTCTCCTATGAATTTATGCTTACACAGACGTTTCGTTTTTATCTTACCTGTCGCTTTGCAAACGTCCAGTGGAGACGTTCATTACTCTTATTGATTTTGTCATGATAATGCAAACTTATGCATTCCGAATGATTAGGTTTGTCTGAGAATCCCCAGATGTCTCCAAGCGTGGGTTAAAAATACTACTCGGAATATACATTGTGATTTTTAGGAGAAAAACACAGTTCTTTCCTATGTCAAAGTGCACCAAAAATTATCCAAAAGTACGCCCTCAGTCAGATTAGTTCGTTGGGTAGACTCTACACCAGAAATGCATCAGCAACCAACAGATAGTGGTTACTTGATTATTTAATTAATTTATGGCATGTTTTTCTGATAAACCACACAACTCCTGAGGTTGCCGAAAACTTCCATATTCCGCAACCAGCGTCAGCTCTCTGAGCCCCTAAGTTCGGTACTAAAATTTCGGTTGATGAATCCCCTAGTATCACTAATTTAGCTCACAAGTCAGTTCAAGAAATTGAGAGTTTTCAAAGAAAGGATTATAACGGCTAAGGGCCATTGTCTGGAATCTTAAAAAATTTACTTTATTTATGAGCTAATTATGGGCCCCTTTGGGCGAAATAATAAAGAACAACAGCCAAGGAACTCCACTG